GTGGCACGCGACTACAACAAGGGAAACCATCCGGAATGCAATGTGGAACAGCCCCAGATATCTCAGTGTTTCCTCCACTTCCCAGTTTGGAACCTCCAAAAGTGGCAGTTTCAATGGAAACAACTCGTAAATGGAACTTTTCAAGGGGAAATCCGGTGAATGTTCCGCTGGCGTCGCAGCCAGGGCACTGCACCCCCGGCTCCATGGCGAAAGGCGGCTGGCGGTCCGCAAACTCGCAGCGGGCGGCATCGCTCGGCACCACGTAGAGCTTCTGCACGCGAGGCGTCTGGCTGGGGCGCGTGCCTTCGCCCAGCGTAAACCTCCCGCTGGGGTTCATCTGTAGCACCCCCAAATTGATTGAAACCAATCACCTGGAATGAAACCCGAGTATGAGTCCCCCTTCGTGTTTCTGGCTTACTAGTGTTTGACAAACGCTTCCAAGGCGTTGAGCTGGATTTCTGGAGGAACTTTGGGTTGAACCATTCAACATTCCCACGCTGCCTCAGGCTGAAATCCAAAACGGCGCCATCAGAGGACGCTTCAAAGGCCGGGATCTCCACTTTCTCGGCTGAGGCGCAAGCAGGTCTGATAGGTCTCCGCCCACTCTGGGCTCACCAGATGGTCCACGGCGTCTCGGCCTTGGCTCGATGGGTTGTGTCATAGGGAAACAGGGCTGGGGACTGTGGGAGTGCACTTGTTGCTGTATGGGTATGGCTCAAAATGACGGAGCTACGGTTACGCAGGCTTTAGTCTTTGGTTCCGTTTGCCAAGGTGTCATTTGGTACCACTTGTTTGAGCCACAGCCATATCTTGTGCATGCAAGTGTGTATCTGCTTCTTGCACTTGCTTTGCTTATGTTGAGCTCTGTTTGACTAAATTGTGCGCTAAGTGGTAACTAAAGTGTAATGAAAATCATATTGGAAAGGAATTGCTGCGCAAAACATAATATGGAAAATAATACTTCGTATTTGCAGTCTAAATTGAAATAGAAATTATAATTGCAGTATGTCCTGATTAAAATATATTCAAACTCAGCTAGAGTTTGAGTAAAAAGTGATAAACTATATTAAGTAGTAAAAAAAAAACATAAGGAAAGAACTCAGAGGTCCAAAGATCGTGTTTTACGCGCCCCGGCACTACCATGGTCAGAACCAGGGTAAAACACAGACACTAAATTCACATCTCCACCAACGGCCTCTCTCTAAACATAAATTAGAGTTTTAATAGATTTTCAATAGATAAGAAATAGGTGGTCCGAATCAGATTGCAAATTATATCCTAAATTTTAGACTTTAGATAGCCCTTCCTTACCAAATAGAACTGTATAGTTCAGTTAGAGCTTAGATAGAATTTGGTAAGGCCAAAATCCAATCAGAGTTTCTAGCTTAAATTCAATCTGAAACAAGAATACTGGTGTCAAATCGTTGTTTTCTGCACGGATGTCCCTTCCAATAGTTTTTGTGCATAATTCAATTAGCCTGTAAGCACAAGTTATTCGAAAAGAGCTCAACTCGAATCTCCATCTTAAACTGGAATTTCAAGTGGGGGGGGGGGCTTTCAAAACACAAACACAGCACCAGCCCTGCCCAAAACCAAAACACACAGAAACTCGAAGACACAAGCCAACAAGCAAAACAAAACACAAAATATTCCAGAACTCTTGGCACAGTGAGTAGCTACCTCTTGAAAACGCGCCTGGGGAATGGTTTGAGTTTGTGTTTTGCTTGTTGGGTTTCTCAAGGTGTTATGTTGTGTTGCTTTGGGCAGGGCTGATCCAGTGGAAAGACTGGCTGAGGATGTGTTTTAGTTTGTGTGTTTGTTTGAGTTGTGCTGTGTGGTTTCCTCAAGTGTTCTTTACTTACTTAGAAGCCCGGAAGTGCATTGGAACAAAAGCAAAGACTGCAACATGCATACATCCCAAACAAACAATAGAAAAGACTGCAATTTACCACGTCCCAGTCCCCTGTTCTGAAAAAGACACGGGCACCACTTTTGCATTGGTCGAATCTCAGAGAGAAGCCACCCCAAAACGAGCAGAAAGGTTGCGTTGAACGTGATCTCTTGCCCAGACCAATTCAGCAAAGAAGAGCTCCTTATGTGTCCCCTTGAGAAATCACCTCACCCAAAGCATGTTTTCTTCATTGTCCCCAAAGGCGGTGTCTAAATTACAGCCACCCTTCAAACAGAGACACATAAAGACCACCTGAGTCACCATCAAAACCCGATATTAAAATGGTCTACCCAGAACCATGTAAAGAATTAGGAAGGCGGATATCCGCAGCTATTTATAGTGGGGATTGTCCCTTACTAACCTTCATCTACCCGGGTTTTGAGCAAGTGGCTCAAGTCACGTGTTTAGAAGCCCTGCAACATCTGGCGCTCAGCTAGGCTGCTCCCCTCGGAGTCCGCTCTGGACTTCCGCGTGCTCCGGAAGAAGGACTGGAGCTGAGTGACGGTGCGCTTCGCCTCGTGGAACTCCGCCCGGGTCAGGCGGTCTTTCCTGAGCTCAGCGGGCGAGCCCCTGCTAGCCTGATAGCGGGACCTAACGGACCCAACATCTAAAGTCAGAAGGTCTAAAGTTTATATAGTCACATCCTGAACAGAAAAGACTAACACTCCACTTTCGGATGTGTCGCGCAACTCCCTCCAGCGTCTAAACGTCCAAACCTTGGCCCGTACACCAAAAAACATAACATATGTCCTCGTGTCACCAGTAAAATATGACATAGTTCTGGCGGAGACCCCAGACATGTCCGAGGGCATGGCGAGTTTTTGCCAAGCTTCGCATGGCCGTGGCTAAATGAGACGCCCGGCTTGAGGCCGAAGCTCCAGAGCGTCATTAGCAGGCTGAAGCTGGTGCTCTGGGACCTCGAAGTCTCGTCCCTGAACCAAGTGGCCCCAACCAAAGTCGTCGTGAGTCAAAGGCTTGGCCCTGTCGCCCAGTGAAAAAATAAAAGGCTTTGGCGAAAGAACCGTTTTACCACACGGAACCCCAAAGCCCATCATTGCGTTACAGAAAGCTCTCATTTTGATTTGTACGGGGGTAGGTTGATCAGTTCCAACCTGCCTTTCAAAGCGGTGAGCATCTGCGCGATAGTCGCTGTAGGAGTAATGGTCGTCAAACTTCATCACCTCCACAACCAATCCACCCCTCCACATGGTTATCCCCCGCCGCATAGCTTTGTGGCTTTATGTTGTCCGCATTAAACAGAAGAAAGACAAACCCCCCGCACCCCCAAACTGCCCAAAGTGATGGTCGACTCGTACAAAGGATCACCTCGTCCTTCAGCGAGTCCATGTGGCTCCACCGGCCGCTGCGCACATATTTGTCATAGACACCTTCGCTCAGCAGCTCCTGGCGGGGTCCGAACTTGCGACTCTGTGGGCATTTGACCAACAAACGTATGCCCAGGGCGGCCGTGTTGTCAGTAAACCTCGGCTTTTGGTCGAACCCCAGAAAATCCGGCTCCCAGAAAATGCGGAACTCCTTCCAGTACGGGATACAAAGCCACAAAGCCCCTGCTTTCGCTTGGGGATCCTTTAAATCAGCTGGCAACTCCGAACATCTCAACTGGCCGACCCGAAGCCGCCCTCGGCCCCACAGCTCCTGGCACGGCGCGCCAGGCGCCGACGCCAAAGCCACGGCCCGCCCCAAGGTGCCGAAGGTACCGAAGGTACCGAAGGTACCGAAGGTACCAAAGGCGCCCAGGGCGGCGCAAGAAGCGACGCCCACCACCCACTTTGTGTGGGTCCTACTTGCGATCGGTGCTGAGTCTTTTGATGCAGGGAATGAGAAATGGAATGACCCGAAGAAAAATCATCCAACTACCATATCCAACTGGTGGTTTCTGTTAAGGGGACCAATTGCTGGGGTCATTCCCACATTCCCGGCTGAGCACCAACAACAAAATGCCCAAAACTCACACACCCCTCTTCAAGGGGACACGCTCCCAATACAGCCCCTTGGGAAAGACCAACTTAGACCATCTGGGTTTGGTGGGTTTGGGGTGTGGTGGTTTTGAGGGGCCTGGGAAAAGTTCTGTGACTGAAACTGCCGTCCGGCAAACTTGGGATGTGCTTACAGTCATCCCGATCTTCAAGGCAAGACCACAAGGCATTCACACCCTCCATTGAATGGGGCAAGACAAAAGGGGTTCCTTTTGGATTCCCTCAAAAACAGAAGAAAATACGGGGTTCCTTGTTGGATGCCCTCAAAAACAGAAAGCCCCCAAAATGTTGGGAGGTCCCCCGGCCCCCCCCTTTTCCTTTCGTAGGCCACCCAGGCCTGGGGGATGACATCAAATGGTACTCAAAAGCCATGGCTTCGAAGGAGGTGGAAAGCCGGGTGGAAGGATGCTGCGAGGGCCAAAGCCTGCAGCAGGCAAACCTCGCAAACCTCCCAAGCCAAAGCTCGGGTGTTTTTTTCTGAGGGAGGGACGGTAGCAGACCTCCTGCGGAGTGTGGTTGATGTATTTCCATTGAGCAGACCCTGAAATGCTTGCTCGCCATGCGTTCCCGCTCGGAATCATCATAGGTTCGGTTCATTAGTGCTCTGGATTGGGGGTTTTTGCTTCACACAGAAAGTCCCCGGCACCCATCTTTGACAAACCCCCCACCCCGACTCGAAGAGCTCCACTAGGGGCATTCAGCCGACACCTTCATTTTTGTGGCGGGGCGAAGAAAGCGAGGTCTTGTTCTCAAGAAAATGCCTCTCTCTTGGCTGGACCTCCTTTCCAACAGGAGTCGAAAGTCACGTTTGGGGGGTGCGCCCCCTGCTCACCAGCAAATCATACAGGGTAAACAAAATCAGCAGAGAAATCGATCAAGTCGCGTCCGGTCCGACAAGCAAATGGCTGTGGGTCAAAACCCTGTACCCCTGGTGAACATCAAAAGAGGTGGCAAATGGACCCCATGGGATCGCCATAGGTGATGCCCCATGGCCAAATGGACCCAGCCTTCGGCTCCAAGCCGTCCCTGCCCCAAAAAACACCGCTCAAGGCCTCGAGCTTCTCGCGCAGGGCCTGACACCGAGTCGAGTGCAGGGCCCCAAACTCCAGGGGTCTCAGCAGTCGTTCCAAGCCTGACAACAGGGCGCTGAAAGGCCTCCACCCTTGTGTGTGTGTGTGTATGTTTCTTTTTTTTTGCAAACCCCTAAAAAACAAAACGGCCAGAACCCAAAATCCTAAACACCTAAATCAACATGCCGACAAGGGTGAAGGAGTCCCCATTCTGTTCTCAACCACTGTTCTTTTCTCCAAAAGTAGCTGCTTCACCTGGTCGCTTGCTGGTTTTCTGGAAAGAAGGGAGAGTTACCCATAGTCAAGGCTGAGCACCAGTCAGCAAAGCTCAGCTAAAAGTTGAAGCAGTCCCAAGCCGTTTAGGGTGACTCTTCGATGGTTGCCACTACCCGCAAACCACTCCCCACAACTTTAATGGGATATACAGCCACTATATAGCCACTATGTAAAGGGTATACAGTCTTGAAGTACTCTAGGCAGAAGGGCCTTTAGGTGGATCCCCGTTTGCTAAACAAACACGAAGATGAAACCGAAGTCCCTCCTACCCCGAGAACCTTTCTGCGGCGTTTGGCGGGGTCCAAAGGCTTCTCCGGCAAATCTGATTTTGTATTTGGGCGCCTGGGGACAACAGGGTCTTGCTATTTGTGGGTGGTGTTTTTAGAGAACCCCCCCTTCTTGGGCAATTGAAAGGGACACCAAAAGGAAAACCCACCTTCTTCTTTTTTTTTGGGGGGGGGGGTCGCCTAAAAAACACACGCCCATTGGGTCGAACCCAGTTGGGTCAGTTTTTTTGTTGGCAGACCCATGAAGTCGAACCCTTCCCTTGCCAAATTTTCATTGACCCTTGGACCTCAAAATGGGTGTGGCTCAAAATTAAAAAGATAGGGTTACGCAGGTTTTAGTCTTTGGTTCCATTTACCAAGGGTGCCATGTTGGTACATGTTTTTGAGCCACAGCCAAATTAGGTGGGGGATTCATGACCCGGAGCCTTTGGCTCGCAGGCTTGCAGGCTCGCAGGCTCGCAGGCTCTGTGAGTGAATTACGCCAGGCGGCAGGGGGTCCTCTTTGGTAAATCAAGAAACATTGCTTATTTCAGCCACAGGTCTTGGACAAGTGAGTCATATAGGACCCAAGAGCCCCCAAAAAGGCGCCAAAGAAACCAGGAAAGCAGGGGAAAAAAGAAAGAAAGAAAGAAAGAAAGAAAGAAAGAAAGAAAGAAAGAAAGAAAGAAAGGGGGAGGGGGAAAAAAGAAACAAAAACGCCCCCGCCTGCAGGTTCGCTGCCTCCTTCGCCGCGGCCGCCGCCTCGGCCATGGGCCCTTTTTAGGTCACCAAGTAACATACCGCCTGAGTCACTTGCTTAAAACCATCAAAATGGTCGCAATCCCAGAACCATGTAAAGAATTAGGAAGGCGGATATCCGCAGCTATTTATGGCAAGGGGATTGTCCCTTACTCACCTTCATCTCGGGTTTTGAGCAAGTGGCTCACCTCACGTTCCGGAGTCCGTTGTTATAGGAAAGTAGGCCAAACCAGGAGCGAATTCCCCGAACAAAGGGGGTGCTTCTGTGAATTGGTAAGGGTACATGGGATGACCATTGAAAAACCCACCGAAAAGGTTTGATCTATGTCCCACTCCCCTTTTTGGCGGATGTAAAGTTCGAACCAACAGCACAACCGTTGCGCCATTTGGGGGGTCCCCCCAAAAAATATGGAATACTCATTTAAAACCATGGGGAGACCCAAACAGAGTCTGGCTATTCGGTCGAACCCGCTTGGGTGCGAATCTGAACGGGTCTCAGACCCTGTGAGCATTTCAATTCGGGATTCACGTCCACCAGCCCCTTTCAATTTGTTGCTTCTTACACCGCCATTTGGGCTTGTCTTTTTTTTGAGTGTCCAGTTGTGGAAGTTTCAAAGGGACATGGAGACCCCGGCGATTGGGGCCCGGACCTTGGCATCCGCCGCCGCCTTCTTCTCCGCCTCCGCCCGCTCTGCCGCCTCCTTGGCAGCCGCCTCCTTTGCGGCCCGCTCCCTTTCCGCCGCCTCGGTTGCCGAAAGATTTGATGAAAACCATCGAGCCAAGTTGGAGGACGAAACTGCTTACCCTCCCACCAGCTAACATGGAAGTCCACAGACCCCTGTAGGAAGATGACTTTCCTCTCGGAAAGGGGGCCTTTTTGCACTTCCATGTTAGCTGGTGGGAGGGTAGGTAGGTCAACACTCACTCCCAAATCTGGAATCTGGAAGAACGATCCTTTAGTCTTTGTCTGTCCATGGTTGTATCTCCTTGGGTGTCCAATGGTACCTACCCCCGATTTGGGAGATTCCCGATTTGGAGATACGCCCCAAATAGACAAAGACGCCGGCCTGCTTCTTCTCCTCTTCCTCCTTCTCCTTCTTCTTCCTCTCCTCCTCAGCCTGCGCCATAGGTCAGTGACTTCCTTCAATTGGACACTTCGGAGGAGGGTTGTCGACATGGCGAACGCTGGTGAAAAAGCAGGAGTGAGTCTTCCCAGATTTTTCCGTCGCCAGAACATGCCAGAACCTTCAACAAAGCTGAAGCTCAACAGAAACCGGTGTGAGAAGCCAACATCTGTTTTTTCCCCTGCCTACGGCCGGTGCGCAGTCGCCTCTCGGTGTGAAGAGCAAAACGCTTTCGTGGGGATTTCGAAAGCCGGGAGGGGCACAAGCGAGCCTTGGCACTGGCTTCCTGCTCGGAACTCGGCTGGTGAACTAGACATGCTAGATGCCCCTGTGAAAATTCCACCAATTCTTAGACTCGGTCAGCAACTCTTTCAGCACTCTGTTAGCACTCTTTTAAGCACTCGTTTAGCTCTCTTTCAGCACTCTGTTAGCACCCTGCAAAGGGAATCCACAGGTAAGGCATCAAAAGCAATCCCTGCACAAGTAGACCAAGCGCTCTCCCCCATCTCCCCGAACCCTGTAAGCTAAATGCTGTGTTCTTTGCAGCCGCTGACTTCGGGGGCTGAACTCAAGAACCAAAGGATCAGGGAAAAAGAAACTGCTGTGGGTCAAAATATAGGTACCCAAAATGGAACCCTGGCAAGTGGCAACATGGACCAAAATCTGCGGCCCCCTGTGGGTTTAATTTTGACCCACACCCATGCCAGAAGCAGTGAAGCTCTGCAAACGACCTATTCAGTGCCCAGCTAGACCTGACAAGTCATTCTTTCTCTCGCTCAACCCTATGGCGTTGCATTGTAAAAACAAGTGGGACGTCATAAAACTACACTTGCTGTGACAGCACTGGTTGAACAGAGGCATTCCCCATTCCAACTGATCAAGTGTTGACTTTGAGGAAACGGCTCCCGACAAATGTTGGACACATCCAACCACATTCCCACGATGGACACCGACATGAAATGCTGCAAATGCCATTTTGGATGGTACCAACCTTTGGTTCCAAAAAGAGGAATGGAGCGTAAACCCTCCCCCCCAAACCAAAAAAAGCGCAAGCAAGCCCAGGTTCTCCCAACAGCCCTGGAACTGCCTGGTTCACACCCTCCCCGCCCAAAACAAAAACCCAGTTCTCCCACCAACCCCTGAACCACCTGGTAACCCCAAACCCTCCCCCCAGCTGCGCTCCAAAGGCCTTGCGCTTCTCCTTCCTCTCCCGGATCCTCAACTTCTTCGCCTCCGCCGCCTCCGCCTCCTTCTGCCTCTGCGCCGCCTTCTGCTTCTCCTCCAGCGACCCAAACCGCCGGACCCATCGACCCGAAGACCCGCCTCTGACGGGGTGAAAACCCCCCCAGAAACGGATGCACGACTTGACAGGTCAGAAGCGAGCCATGTGCGTTCACTTAGGTTAGCGAATCAAACCCGGGCTACTTGGATAAAGTGAGGGAACCTTCATTTGATTGAGGTGCCACGCAAAAATCTGGCATGGCCCTTCCATTCACCCCAAACCAACAGGCACAAACCAAAGTCATTTGCCTGCGGAGGACTCATCTTTCCAGCGAAGACTATGGATAGCGATAGCCGCATCCCACAAACACAATCTTGCAGCCTGCTTACTCGCAAGGTGACCCAACTTGAGAGAGGGCCCTTGGTCCTTGAGCTAAGACCGAAGCGATTTAAAACAAGGTGCATGATCGGCGCCTTTTGCGGTCAAAAGGCCAAACAATGCCCCACATTGCTTCGCTTGGCCCTTGGTGTGCGAACCCCAAAGGCGTTTGATCAACAATTACGCACCTTTTGTCTGTCTCAAAATAAGAAAACCCTTTTTGGATGGTTTTGAAGGGACATCGGAAACCAACCACCTTTGCCGAATTCTGACAAACACCCGCACAATTATCTTGTGATCATAAAACTTCATCTGGTTTAACGCAACCCCTCCCCCCTCAACCCATTGGGTGTGTCTTGTTCACAAAAAATGGTGGCTTTCCATTTTGGTCTCCCTTTAGAAGCCACAAAAACAAGAAGGACCCTCAACAAAAGACACCCCGATATTCCTTTCAGGGCCCCTGTTGAACGCTCGAGCTTTCTTTGCGAGCGTCGAGATAGCCAAAACCCGCGCCTCCAGCAGCGCGAGCGCCTCCCGCTCCTCAGATCAAAGCTCCCGGGTCGTGGCTGTTGGTTTCAGGGTGGGTAAACCTATCTGGATGGTGTGGCTGTCAAAAATAGGGTAACCCCATGGGTGGTTGCCCTGGGAAATGACCAAACTCGACCTTGATTTGTTCAGACTTTGATACTCCCTTGATCCAGCCAATCTGGGTTGTTGAAAGCTTGGCGCTGGAATCTTCCACGCAAAACGCCCCGCCGGAAGCCCGCGGAAAGCCTGCCTTCAGCTCCTCCTGCTTCTTCAGTTCCTCGCGGGGGTTCTGCACTGAAGTGCTCGGAACCGAGGGAAGAGGAAGGTTGGGCACAAAACATCTGTATCTCAACATCCTCTCAGAATAGAGATCCCCCGAAAATGGTTGGCTTCCTCATGGCTTCCCTTGAAACACCGACTCAAAGGGGTCCGAAATCCATGCTGAGAAGCTCCCAAATTCAACGAGGAAGAAGCGCGTCACGGTGACGGAGACGGATCGCCACGTCATGCAACGATAGCCTCTGTCCAACGACCACGGCACCAATTGGAGATACGGTGATCTCCAAAATACATAAGGGAATCATCATAGTGTGGGCGAGCTCGTCTATCCTCTATTGGATAAGCCCTCATGGCATCCAGCAAATGGGTCCCAGGCGGCAGATGGTTGTTTAAAGTGAAATGGACAACCGCGCTCGTCTTTTCTTTTTGTTCTTTGTCTTTTTTTGGGGGGGGATCCACTGCTTCAAAATCCAAAAAAAGCACGTGGTGCAAGCTGGACATGTTTGTTACGCAAGCAACCCGCCTCTTCTCGCTCCTTTTCGGCCCTTTCAGCCGCTCTCTTCTCTTCATCTCGCTTCGTTTCCTCCTCTCTCCTCCTCTCTTCCTCCTTCCGCTTCTCTTCTTCCTTCCTCTCCTTCTCCTTCCTCCT